TGGTCATTGTTCGGGGGAATTTCCCTGAACGTAGGCCTGCTTTCTTGCACATGCTTGCTACCGTTTTTTTACGAATAAAGACATCCCCTGAAAATAAACCTTGCATTTTCTGGGGCAAAAATTGATATAATTATTTTGGGGGGAAATAAGTGGTAGTATAACAAGAGAATAACTCTGTGGACACTTTATCATAAAGACTGCCCAAAAATTGAAAGAGCCAAACTGCGTATGGTGTGACTTCAACTATAGATGAATTAACTTACTTAACTTATAGTCAGTAGGCTGAGGTGCATTTGTTGTTAAACCAAACATTAGAATGTGAAAGACAGTTGGTGAGCAAGGCATCTGTGAGTATTACACGATTGCTTCATGTGCATAATTCATTTGTTTTTCTCTTTTTAAAGCGTGTAAATTATAGTCCTCCCTTTGAAGGCACAGATTAGGACATTTTTCGAGCTACACCATTCACAATTGGTCAGCTATAAATTATAAAAACTCTTACATGGGCACATTTCAGCAGTGTTCCCCAAATATAATAAAGTCACCTCTTTATTCCATTGGTCTGGCAAGTCCTCAGATCTCAAACAAATACAGCACCTTTGAGATGAGCTGGAATAGGTTCACAATAGGAATGTGGTACCTGCCCACTTCCTTAAACTAAACTTAAACTAAATTTGACCAAAACAGAAATTCTGGTCTTTCCACCCTCAAGTGTTGTTACTCCTGTGTCTGTCTCCCTCCAAGTCAACAGTGCTACCATCAGCTCCCTTCAAGTCAACGGTGCTACCATCAGCTCCACCATACAGGCTCGCTGCCGAGGTGTTCTCTTTGACTCCGACCTCTCCTTCAAGCCTCATTTTCAGTCTATTGTCAAATCATGTCGTCATTTCCATCTCAAAAACATTGCACACATCCGCCCCTACTTAACGCCAGATGCGACTAAGATGTTGGTCCATTCCACTGTCCTTTCTCGCCTTGACTACTGTAATCTGCTTCTCAGTGGTCTTACGTGCTCCCAGTTTGCGCCGTTACAGTCCATAATGAATGCGGCAGCGAGGCTCATCTTCCTGTCCACCCGCACCTCCCAGGCCTCGGTCAGTCCCTACATTGGCTTCCTATAAAATATAGAGCTCAATTTAAAATTCTGGTTCTTGTTTTCAAATCGCTACATAATGCTGCTCCCACCTATCTATCCTCCCTTATACACAAGTATGTCCCATCTAGGCCCTTACGATCTGTCGATGACTTACGTCTATCTTCTTGCCGTACTCCCACCTCTGATGCTCGCCTTCAAGATTTCTCAAGGGCTGCACCGTTCCGGTGGAACTCGCTTCCCTCCTCCGTTAGATGCTCAGCCAGTCTCCACTCCTTCAAAAAATCATTAAAAACCCACTTCTTCATAAAAGCGTATCAATTAAATTGTTAATAGCTCCTGACTGATTCCTCTTCTGCAACTGTCATTAGTCTAATACTATTCTTACCTTTTTGTGTCATTTTACCCCACTCCCTCTAGCATGTAAGCTCATTGAGCAAGGCCCTCAACCTCTCTGTTCCTGTGTGTCCAACTTGTCTAGTTACAACTACATGTCTGTTCGTCCACCCATTGTAAAGCGCTGCGGAATTTGATGGCGCTATATAAATAATATAATAATAATAATACCTAAACGTCTGTGTTCTGCATTCAGTACCTTGTTGCATTTAAGCTCTTAATAATTCAGGCTATTTTTAATCATATTTGAGTGCTGCCCAGTACTAGATTGGTTTTCCTAATAATAGAATATTCACATGTACCCAGTTTATTTTACTGTCTTTCTTGGCTCATTACATTAAGTTAATTGCATATCTAACATAACTGTTCATCAAACAGTTAGGTATTTCTTTCTCCTGATGTGAATGGAGCTGTGTTGCGCCACTATATATAAGATACAAGAATGTGAGAAAAGGTGTTTTTGTTTTTTTGCATATTACTGTATTGATCACTGTATATACAAGCTATTGCCAGTCCTGCATTGCAATATATATATATATATATATATATATATATATATATATATATATATATATTTAGTCAGGAAGTTATTTGAATGTCCTGGAGCATACATCACATTACCTATTTCAGTGGTAATTCTGTGAAACCATCTTATCTTCAAACATATGTTTGAAAATAGTATGGGAGTATCCTGGGGCATTGAAAATGTATGTTGCATCCCTTTCAAATATGAAATGATAAAAATAAGCAAAAAAAGAGAGCTAGTAGGGTATGTGGAGTTGAAAAAATACTGTTTTTTATTTCTGTACCGTGTTTCATCAGTATGAAAATATGATCTGTTCGAATTCTAGGAACAATGAAGGTATATTCACAAAAAAAGTCGTGCTGTGTTAAGAACTTAGTACAATATAGCACAAATATTTAAGTTGAAAGTATTCTTAAGTCAGCTGTCACCTTACTTCAACTCACTAGTTAGAGATAAATCCCAAAGTACCTTTAAACATTGTTAGTTGTTCTTTAGAAGTCTCAGAACACCATCACCCAATTCAGATATTTCAACAAAGATTTGATCCTTTATGCTCTGAGATTATACAAAGCAGATAGAAACACAATTACATTACGACTATAAGGCTAGAGCTTTATTATTTAGGAATACCTGTCAGAATTGCATAGCTCCACTAACCGATAGCAAACACGCTAAATAGCAAAATCCACAACACTTTTCTTATATATGTTACTATCAGATTTTAATGTAATAAGGTTTTCAGTTCTTGGCTTTAAAGATAAATGGTATGTTAGAATGCATGTCACTGGAAAAAAAGGTAAATCTAATGTCATGGATTAGGTCTATAACATAATATGTTAAACATAAACTCACTAAATATATGCTGCTAGTTTTGTTCTGTTACAAAGGGATAATGGGAATTCTATAATGTATGGCTCAGCTATAGATTAACGTAGTACACCAAACTTAACATTTAATAGATTAATAGTAACACAATAATTTTGCAAGATTAAATATAATCCTAAAACTAAATACAATTCATATTTTATGTACTAGTTATTTGTATCTCCTTTCCTATGGCTCTGCCCCATATGTTCATCAGCTACCATTAATCTGCAGATATGTTTCAAATATTCAAAGAGGACACTAGGATTATCCTTTTTGGGTCTGGGTGTTTATGTGAGAGTGCTCGTCAATAAATAGACACACACATAGGTGTTGTTATCTGGATAAATATTGATTGATTTTACTATAATGGTAAATCAGCAGACACACCAGTACAGGGTTAGGTATCCCTTGGCACTCCAGAAGCTGTAGACTACATCTTACATAGGCTCTTATAGTCATAACGTTGGCAAAGCATCAGGGAAGATGTAGTCCACAACATCTGGAGCGCTGAAGGTTGCCAACCCTGCACTAGTCAGTACAGAAATTATAATGGCAGTCCTGCAATTTCTTCTCAAAACTATTTATTTCAAAATCTGTTGTTTTCTGAAATGTTGAAGATGGACAAAGGCTACATGTGAAATTGACTTCACCATAATTGTGACATAGTATGTGTATGTATGTATGTATATATATAAAATATTAATATATATATATATCTGTCCTGATGAAAGCTCTGTACAGGAGCTGAAACGTTGACATGGATATAACATTAAACTGAAGACTTGAAAACTCCCAGTGACGGTATTTTTTGAACTTTCTATTTGATATTTTATCGGAGCACCGGTTCTTTAAACATTGTGTTGGAGTGCAAGATTTTTTTTATTATATATATTATTTAAATATATATATTATTTATGTATTTATTTTTACACAGTGCAAACCTTTTAGCTTATGAGACCTATTGCAATTAATCTACTTTCACAGCTCATAAAGTTAGAAAGTCATTAATTTCTGGATATAATGCAAGCAAATGGATTCAATTTGGTCCTTGCAGTTACATGCCTATTTAAGGTAATTCAACATAGGGAAAGTTATGCATTAAACAGTGAACTGTCAGGAATTATCCAGGTATCTGCATATTTAAGACAAAACTAGCTGATCTGAAAACTAAGATGACTTGAGTGTTTTTTTTTTTCCAATATCATTATTTTGTCTGAATATGTGCAATACTCTGGTTAATTCCTGTCAATTTGCAGTATAATCAATAACACAGAAAGGTTTTTTATTCTGAATTTTAGAATTACTAAAAATAAAAATCCAGAAGAGGGGTAACTGGAGGTAGCAAATTATTTTGTGAATTAGTTTCTATTGTCATGTTCTATAATTTAATTTACACAAATGTGACCAAAATAAACTTTCTTATTTCTTTTCTAAAATAATGAAATAAAACGTGCTTGCTGAGTTAAGGCTAAACAATGTTATACATATCACATAGGACTCCATTACTTACAGGTAATGCAATTAAAATATATATAATATATATATTTTAGTGCAGTTTACAACCTATAGTGTTATCTATTGCAAACAAAGAAAACAGACAGTTAATGAGTTCAAGCTGCAATAAAACCAGTGTGAGTTAATTTCTTTCAGTGCCGGAGCTGTGTCAGTCATTGGACACAAGTATAAAATCTGTATAGCTATTCCCACTCCTGCAGACTAGCTGAGGAATGCTGGACAGCTCCTCGTCCATGGTCCCAATCAGTGCTGCTGTCCATGGTTCTGAAATCTACTGCAGTTCTCTTTTGCAGCAGGTCCTAGCTAGCACATGACATTCTCTACAACATGTTCCTGTTCACAACACATATTTATGAATTATTCAAAATGTAACCTGCACATTACAGGGCTATCAGCCACACATCACTTCTTAACACCAAGAACGTAGTTCTAAAATACCCAACCACTGAACAATGCAGGAACAGACAGCTGTAAACTCCTATGGATGTCTGTGATAATACTGAACAACAAGGCTGAGCACAAGCCCTGTGCTCTAAGTAGGGGACAACACCATAACTGTCTGGTTCTGTAACACACTGATACATTGAAATCCCCATCACAGCATTAGTAGCACTCGTAGAAAATAAGCATGACAGAGTCCGTGCTCCTTCTGGCACTCAGTCTGGGGGTACTGGAGGATGCACTATGCACTGACCTGTGGTTCCTCTGGCTGTCTTTCTTGTCCATAATAGAAGGTACACAGTTGGTGAGCTCGGTCCAGTCTGCATGCAGTCCACAGCTCCAGCCAGTAGAGAAACGTGAGAAGAGCCAGGTCTCCTTCTTCCCAGGTCGGTGACAGGTGCACTTTTTCTGTCCAGGCTTGCAATCACAGGGCTGCTCCAGGCGGATATTCCTAACCAGGTGCCTCCCAAAAGTAGTGCCCCCTGTCTTTTGGATGTGCAGGAACACTATGACATCGTCCCCTTTTATATTGAAATCCACAAACCGGATCAGGTCTTTAGTGGCGAACTGGAAGGTCGGCTGGAATTTGGGAGGGCTGAAGTCCTCTGCAACTTCACTTTCATCCTCCTCCGCTTGCCACTGAGTGTCTGCCAGGGATGGAAGGACAGGGGATGGGGCTACCCCTCTCAAAGTGTTACCAGCTCGGAAATGGCAAGAATTGGTCCCGGCTGGGCATATGTACTGGTACACTATCATCACAAAGAGCACTGCCAGGACAGGGGCCAAAATCAACTTGTTGGTTCTGTCATCCATGATTCCAGCGAAGCTTTTTTCATGCACGGTCATCAAGGTGAATTATGATGATGAGGACGATGGTAATGGTGATGGTGGTTGATGAGTCCTCTGTTCATTAGATTCCCATCAAGTCACATAGGCGAGTTTGTCTTTTTGCGGTTAGGTGATAGCCTGCTTATCACAACACCCATTTCTAGGCGAAATCGGTTTGTATCTCCAATCTGCGTTCCATCAGAGGGATGATCTGGCCAAGAAGGGGGCAGGTGCAGCTATACCTCTCAGTACCTCGCAAGTTCCATGCGGGGGGAAGTTGGAACACTGGGAACACGTGAACATTCCATGCTCTCCCAGTCCACACCTTCAGCTCACACCACACACACACACACAAGGCAGAGGAAATCCTCACGCTTTCTGCTAAGCGCAATGAATATTGATGGGAGAATTTCTAACTCCACGAAAAAGCCAATCGTGGACAGGTGTCTCGGCTCTCGTGGCCAATCGCCGCTTTGTGGTGGGAATAAAGCAGAGTGCATGATGAGCCAATAGGAGATGGAGAGAGAAGCAGTGAGACTCCCATCACTGCAGGCGCTGCAGCCTTGCCAATGGGAAGATCAGGCAGAGCTATGGAGCCCAATCACTGGCAGTCGGGGGATGACTGACTGAAGCCAATAAGGGCCGATGGAGCTCAGCCCCAGAATCATCTCCTATCTCCTGCACGATCACTGGGAGCAGGAGGGGAGTTACCGCAGCTCTCATTTACAGAGACCCAATAATCAGGATGGAGGCTTCCTCTGCAGACTGCTTCTGCTGCTTCGTTCTCTATTTCTTCTTTGAGCTGTAACAATGTTTGAAGGTTGCATAATGTAAAATACACTGCATACGCAATTACATTAATTAAAGATCGTTTCTAAAATGTATTTTATAAAGATTAGTAAATCTCAGAGATTTGATATGTCTAGAGGCAAGTGCTTCTTACTATGTAATATCCATCTCCACCAGCCCCCCAAAAAGACATACCAAGTTAGTAATATTTTATAGACGTGAATTTTGCCTAGCCCCTCAGCCCCCCACACTTCCATATATATATAAAAATAAAACAAAGTTTCTGAAAATCTGGTTATGTTGCCTTGGATCATTTATGAACACACTTGGCATCTCAGATGTTTGTGAACTGCATATCACATGATGCTTAGCCGATCCTGGGGCTGGCTGAGCATCATAGTAAATGTAGTCCACTAGCATCTGCCGTGTCAATGATTTATCTTCAATGCTAATTTCTCCATGCAGGTCTACATTCACTCCGGGTAGTTTAATTAATAAATTAACTCTTTGAGAAGCAGAAAGAATGCTTCACTGTCTGCATCTCAAATGAAGACTAGATCACTCTCAGTTTAATGCAAATTAGAGGCTTATCGCACGCTGCAAACGTATGTCTTAGAGCTGGTAGAATTGGGCCAATCAATCAAAATCTATCACTGTGAAATGCAAACACGAAATGAGGCGGAAAGAAGAGAGTTTTCTGTTTGCCTGCTACTTGTTTGCTGGGGTGACTGAGGAAACATATTTGAAACAAGTGACACAATTTAATAGCAGAATGTTAACATTGTCCTTCTAGCATTCTATTGTAGGAGCTGGAAGTAAATTGGACACAGAACTAAATGGGTGGATGCAGCTATTCCTTGAGTGATACAGACATGGGAACGAATAAATAAATGCACTGAAATGGTATTGCATCTGAAAAAAAATATATCTCAAGGTCAAATATTACTAAATACCAAGAGCTAACAAAAAGGCATAGAAGCTTAAAGGAACAATATAGTCACCAAAACATTTCAGTTTACTTAAGCATTTTGTGTCTATAGATCATGCCCCTGCAGTCTCACTGCTAAAGTCTTTGTCATTTAGGAGTTAACTTACTTTGTTTATGTAGTCATAGGCACACCTCCCTGCATGTGACCTGCATCATCTTCATAAATACTTCTTGTAAAGAGTCATCTAATGTTTACACTTCCTTTATTGCAAATTCTGTTTAATTTAGAATTTCTTATCTCCCGCTGTGTTAACAGCTTGCTAGACCCTGCAAGAGCCTGCTGTATGTTAATAAAGCTAAATTTACAGAGCAGGAATAACTTTTAATGTAAATTACATCTGATTGAAAGTGAAACCATTATGTGTTCATGCAGGCTGTGTCATTCATACGCAAGGGAAATGTGATTATTTCTGCATAAACAAAAATAACAGTGATTTGAGCAGTGAGACTTAAGAGGCATTATCTATACACAGACACTGCCTCATTAAGCTCAAGTTGTTTTGGTGACTATAGTGTCCATTTAACTTTTTAATTGTTGATTGATAGATAGCCTAACACTTTAAATAAATAAATATATATATATATATATATATATATATATATATATATATATATATCATAGAGAAAACATGGAGGTGGTGAAGTTGGATGCATAGGGGATTACTCACTAACCTGTTGTTGTGGAATCCAGATGAAAATATGAAGCTAGTCAAGTTGTGACTAAGACTAAGGTAGGAAATGATTCCAGAGCAGGCATGTTGCCTGAGATTCGAAATTCAGTTTTCGGTTTACTGCAGATTTCTGTTTAGAAAACAAACTGTGCCAGAATGAATTTTGTGGTGAGAATAGATGTAGGTAGTAATGTTAAGGCACTAAGGATAACATTATGAGTTTGCTGATGTGGTTTAGTTTGCCAAGGTTAATCCGATAATAGATTCTGATTCCTTTTTTTGTGGAGGGAATCCTGATATCCTGATCAGGATCTGAAGGACATTCGACCCAGACAAATCTGTTCATGAAAATACCTTTTTACAGGTACCTTAGCGAAACATCAGTGTGCAGTCCCATAGACTTGGTTTGGTTTGCTTTTACTGTCAACAATTCCCCCAGAATTGTCTTCAGTGGATGGACAAATACACACTTCATTTACAGTGTCATAAAATTATATTTGTTTTACTTATTAATTTATTTATGTATTAATGTATTAATTATTGTATACCTATATTTACAGGATGACTTTTACTAAGCATTGAGTTTAATTTTGAATATTCAAACTCTTCAATGCAATATGGAGAATAGTTTAATCATGAGGGTTCATTAACTAAATCATGAGTTGTGGAGAAATTAAATTGGATTTTGTAATATCTGTAATAGAGAATAAATCCCAATTATTATCTTAGTCTACGTTTTCATGACTCACTATTACATAAACAATCCTTAATTCTCCTATACCTTTTCAAAGTACTCTGAACCTACTTTTTCATGATATTTCGGTAAATAACATTTTGAAAAAATGTCCATAAATTAAACATTTAAAGGATTATTTCTATAATGATGAAATAAAAATTAAAGGAATTCCATTGTGCAAGGTTTGCCCAAGTTGGGGCCAATCAAGTAATATGTTAATTGCGATCTTGAATGCTAGATAGCTGTCATGAAACTCACTTTCGACTTTGCCCAAAGACAAACTCTGAACCAAGCCCTTATTAAAGTCAAAATAGCGATAGAACTCCCATAATAGATGGTCTAAAAGATCTAAGATCCACCACCCTCAGCATCACTACCCCCCCAACCACACTCAGTATCACCACCCCCAACCACCCTCAGCCTCACTACCCCCAACAACCCTCCGCCTCACTACCCCCCACACCACCCTCAGCATCACCACCGCCAGCCTCACTACCCCCACACCACCCTCAGCATCACCACCCCCACACCACCCTCACAGCATCACCACCCCAGGCCTCATCACCCCCAAAACCACCCTCAGCATCACCAACCTCAGTTTCCCCACCACCCTCAGACTCCCCCCCACCACCCTCAGCATCACCACCCCCCACCCTTACCCCCCACCCTCACCCCCCACCACCCTCAGCATCACCCCCTCACCACCCCCACCACCCTCAGCATCAACCCCCCTCACCATCACCCCCACTCACATTACCCCCTCCTCCATCTCACATTACCTGCCCTCCTCCTTCTCACATTTCCCCCCTCCTTCTCACATTACCCTCCTCCTCCTTCTCACATTACCTCCCCTCCTCCTGCTACATTACCCTCCTCCTCACGCTACTCCCCCCACTCTCACATTACTATCACCCCCCACACTATCACCTCCCTGTCACCATCACCTCCCTGTCACCATCACCTCCCTGTCACCATCACCCGCCTCTCCTTCTCACCATCACCCCCCATACACACAACACACTTCAAGCAGCTACCCCATACACATAGGGTCTCAGACAAAAACGCAAACATGCTCACAGAGACATACATTCACACACAAAGATACTCTCTGTCAGACACACACTCAGGCACATACACAGGTAAACTGTGCATCAATGTGTATATGTGACACTTTTTTGTTAGTGGGGCCTCGTGTTTGAGTTTCGCCTAGAGCCTCATGAAGTCTAGAGCCGCCTCTGGGTGTCCCAATAGCTTGCATTTAAAACAAACAAAACTTTTTGGACTGTAATATAATAGCAGTCAGTTTCCTTCATGAGTGTGCGTTTCAGGGCCTGCCCACTGCCACCACTCACTCACTGGTGTCACAATAGCTTGCATTTAAAAAACAAACAAAAACTTTTTGGACTGTAATATAATAGCAGTCAGTTTCCTTCACGCGTGTGCGTTTCAGGGCCTGCCAGGGCACAGTGTCACACCAGTGCAACTCATATCTGGTGTAACAGTAGTGTACATTTAAAAAAAAATAATACAATTTTGACTGTAATAGATTGAATAGCAGTTAGTTGTCTGCAAGCGTGTGTCTTGCCTACAGCGTCTACTCTGCCAACTTCTGCCACTGCACAGTGCCACTCATATCTGTTGTCACAGTAGCTTGCATGCATAGTACCACTAATAAAAAAAAAAATGACAGGCAGAGGCAGGCCACCCCGCAGGGCCCGTCATGGTCGTGGTGCTGGGATTCCCTTTGGCCCTAGAATAATGCCCAGTGTTCAGAGGCCACGTACCCTGAACTCGAAAAGTTCTGAGGACATAGTTGACTGGCTAACACAGGACACCCAATCTTCTACAACTTCCGCTCGGAACCTTGACGCACCATCCTCCTCCAGCTTAGCTTTGGGTGGGGAGGCTGAGGGTGGTGGTGAGGCTGGTGGGGGGGTGGGAAGGGGCTGAGGGTGGTGGGTGGAGGCTGGTGGGGTGGGAAGGCTGCAGGTGGTGGTGGAGGGGCTGGTGGGGTGGAAGGCTGGAGGGTGGGGGTGAGGCTGGTGGGGGTGGGAGGGCTGAGGGTGCGGGTGAGGCTGGTGGGAGGCTGAGGGGTGGTGAGGCTGGTGGGGGTGGGAAGGCTGGAGGGTGGCAGGCTGAGGTGGTGAGGGGCTGGTGGGGCTGGGGCTGGGAGGGTGGTGAGG